TTATAGATTTTTAAAGAAAATAAATATATATTCTAAGCTTTTATTAAGATACAATGGTCTATTCGCCAGTAAGTTCAATTTACAGACAAGTTACTGGTTTTACAAACACACACATTGGTATTTAAGATTATGCTTCAAAGTTCCACCTTTACTTTCTGACCCTTAGCATTTCTTGTTAGTTCAGCTTCATAAAGCAGACTCCTGTTTCTGCTTCTGCTTCATTTTCTGGCATTTTACATAACAGGCAGTTTCTCTCTGGTCTTTTTTCCACTTTCCCTGTATTTTCCTATTATGTTCATCTGAACAAGCTTCATTACACATTAAGATGTGACCTGCTTTTATCAAATGGTATCTGGCTGTCCACATCTTCCAGAATAGTAAATATTGACCCAATCCTTTCCTCAAAGCCCACACCGAGTCCACCATGCCCAGGGGCCCATTAGGTTTTGAAGCAGCTGCATTTAATTCCTGATTAATTTTATTTGATCTTATGTATTTGAAGCTTCAGCCTTTAGATCTCGCTAGGAAAATTACCAGCAGATGGAAATACATATAAAATGACATGTAAAGCAATGCAAATTAATACAAAACATGCGTCTCAAATTGCTTAGGAAAAGTCTGTATGCCTCGACACTGATATCTGCTTTGCTTTTCTGCACTCTGGGGAGTGTCACCGGATGCTTTTATTACAGTTAATTTTATACAGCATCCAGCACCTGACACTTGTTGACATGCTAGGTGGAAGACACCCCTGCCTGTGAGTCAGGCTAGTGGGATTCTGGCCTTAACGTTGCCACTGTTTTGCTCTTATGGTCTTGGACGGGTTCTCATAATTCTCTAGATCTCAGATGCTACATCTGGAAATGATGAAAATGACATCATCATAATAAATCCACCAGCTTTAAGGCTTACTGAGCACTCACTAGTGCCAGGCAAAGTGCACACATTGTACATACACAATGCACACATACAATCCTCACAACAGCCCACAAGAAAGCACCAGGGAGCATGTACCCCTTAGATGTGGTGCCATTTCAGAGACCAGGAAACCAAGGCAGAAAGGTCAGAAACTAGCGTGAGGCCCTAAGGCAGAAGTGGCAGTGTCTCTCCAGAGGCCATTCTTAGCCAAGCTGCAGCTCCATTGTGTGGTTGTGTGATTTCCATCTATGTTTCTCCTAATCAGTAAATTTGCATATCTATGAAGTAAAACTTCAAATTTCAGTCATAAGTGCTTCAATATATTGTTTTAGTAAGATGTTAATAGTTTGTTGAGTTTGATATCAAAATGCCAGCAGGATCAGACCAGACTGTTTTTACCTAACACGAGTGGGAGGGGCTCCAGATACCCTTAAGTTCATCCTCTCCTTCCCACTCGTTTATTCTACTCACAGATCAATATGTGTGCAGCTCTCTCATCTTGATAAAGCCAGCCCTCTGTCCCACCTCTCATTCAAAGAGGGGTGTGGGGTTTCTAGGGAAGTGTACTTCCCACCCTGCCGCGCGCGCGCACACACACACACACACACACACACACACACCCCAATGCTCATTCCCACCATAGCTTAGGTGGTGATCCAGCACCACCCTGGTTTTCTTCCCACCTCTTCCCATGAAGACAGGGGCTCTTTTCCAGATCCATATCCCTCCCCCAACCCACTCTAGGCTTACAGTAACTCCCCAATACAAGTGACCCCCAGCTCTCTGGAGGGTAATCTGGGGCCTGCTCTATCCAGACACTGAAGTATTACTACTCTCAAGTCTAGAGAGCAGCTCAGACTCAAAACCAAACTGTCCTTTCTCCCCCAAACTGCCCCTCCTCCGCTACTCCCTGTTTTGTAAACGGCAGTGCCATATAACCAAGTGCTCAAGCTTACGCTTAGCGGGAGTCACCCTGCACTTTCACACCCCACACAAAACTAGGCACCAGGTCACTCCGGGGTCTGCCTTGAACACACCCACTGGTGTCATCTCCACTGCCACAATCAGCCCAGGCCCCCAGGCCTCTCACAGCCCCTAACCAGCCCTGTCTACTTGAAGGGCTCCTCAAATCCATTCTCCACACAGCCACCGCAGCTCTGTTTTGTTTTTAATTTAAATTTCACCAGGATATTTCCAGGTGTGAAACAGTCCTGAGGATCGATTTCACAAAATGGCCTGAAGATCTGGCATCGTCTAGCCCTGGTACCTGCTGACCCTGGCTGGTGCTACTCTCTCCTCAGGTCACACTGGACCTGGAACAGCCCCAGCTCTCCCCTTCCGTCTCAGGGCACACCCTTCCCCAAGGTGAGCACACTCTGCCTTTCTCCTCCTCCTCCCTCTCCTTTGTTTATGCAGCTCCTCCTCCTTCTCCAGGTTCCACCTTAAATCTCCGAAGTGGGCCTCTGGCTTCACCCCAGCATACCTGTGCTCCCACAGCACCACGACTGCCTGGACACAGTAAGTGTTCAATAAATTTGGATGATGAAGTGATTTTTCAACCTGGCATTACATAATCTTACTGTCTTACCGCTTTCTTCCTGCCTTTGAAGCTGACATAGTTTTACTTCCAGTTTGTGGTGCTGTAATAAGCTCCGTAGCCCCAACACTTGTGGCCTCACTGGCTGGTGATTCTCAAGGGAGAGAGAGCAGAAACTGGGCACTCTCTGTACAGTCTCTACCTGCCCTGCCCCCATGACCCAAGTTCATGCAAAGTTAGTTCCATAACTGTTTATTGTCCTATCCTGAGGGTACTTAGTATGGTGCCATCAAGTGCCAACGTTCATTAACTGCCCATTATGCCATTCACCCCTACATACTACCTCTCTGCAGGCTATGTGGCATTTAGCAAATAACTGGGAATGTCGCCTCTCAAAGGAATGACTTCAAGTAATAAACAAAAGGGAACACTTCTCTCCCATTCGCAAAGGAAACTCTTTTCTGCCTTTCCCAGAAACATCAGTGCCACACAAGCCCATTCTTTGGCTATTGGTTTCTCTGCAAATGCAAATTAAGAAATGATTCAACAGCATCTTAATTGGTCATTTCTCACAGATAAATGGATCCTTAGAAAGTACAACACAGAAACTGCTCTCTGCAATGATTCACTTACTTTGAAAGATTGTACTTCCCCAAGACACTATCAACAAAAACTGTAGGCAAAGCACGGGCTATAGAATGTCTTTGATAGGTGGCTTAATAGTAAAGGCATGTTTATGCATATAAGATCAAAAGGGGTGCCTTCTATGTCTTCCAAACAACATGTGCACTTAAATTAATATCACTATCCCCAACTCCCTTAATATCCTGGCTTGTTGCTTTTCAATTTTGAGGATGAGAAGAGGAAAAGACAAATGCCTCAAGGCTAATGCCACGTCTTCGTTTGCCCAGCGAGGGTACAATACACAAGTTTCCACGGCTATAACGACTTGGAAAACCTCCCCCAAGCGATAAAGCACAGTTCTGAAATTAACAAAACAATGCCACCCACTCACACCCTTAGCCTAAGTAAAGAGGGTAAACCGACTCCGGAGCCTACACCTCTAGTCTCGGATCCCCGGAGGCTCCCAGCCCGCAGCGGGAAGCGCCGCCACCTCGCAGGGGGACAGTCCCCAGCCAGCTTCACCTCTCCAACTCTTGACCTTAGAAAGTGCTTTAGATCGTCCCTGCCGAGGGCGCGGCAGGGAGGTCAGTCCCGCAGCCTCGGATGCCCAAACTGTTAAGGGACACCCCCACCCCCACCACACAAGCTTGTCGTACTGGGAAAGCTTTCCCGCACGCACCGCCCCCCTCTCCCGCGCACTAGCCCCCGCCGCCTGCGGGCCGGGACGCCCAGGTCTTGGCGGCGTGGCCGGGGCCCGCAGGTCCAGCCAGGTCTGAGGAGAGGCTGGCGGGAGGGTCCGAAAAAAAACGGGCGTGGGGACCCGTTCCATCGGCTCCCCTCACCTGGGCGGTTTGGGAAAAACCGAGACAGCGGGACCCCGGACCCGGGAAAGGTCGCGTCCGGGCAGCCGCATTGTCACCCCTGGGACAGAGTCCCGGTAAAAACCTTGGGACGCGCACGGCGACTCCCGGCCTCCCCGCTCCGCTCTGCCCGGGGCCGGGGTGCGGGGCGGCCCGCGCCTCCCAGGACGCCCGCGCTCTAACACGCGCCGGCCGCCCCGCACCCTCCGCCCGCTCTCCCCGCGCTGGCCTCGGGGAACTTTCCGGCGTCCGGCTGCCGCGCGGGGCCCTAAAGTTGCTGCACACGGCGGAGCCGCCCACTCGGCCCCGGGCTCCATCTCAGCCCGCCGGGTGCCTGCGCCGACCTTGGGACACCCGCAGGCCGGCGGGCGCGGGGCCAGGCCGGGCTCAGCCCAGGATCCGGATGCGACTCCCCCGGCCGATCCCCGCCCCCGCCCCCGAGAGGGACGCGGCGCCCAAGTTTTCCCCGGCAGTAAAGTGAAAGTCGCGAGAAGAGGGTCCGGGCGTCCGGCCACCCAGCAGCTGGGACAGGAGCCCCGCACCCGCCACCGCGGGACAGCCCCACACCTCGCTGGCCTGCGTGACCAAGTCGACTTACGAAAGGGAGCGGGGCAGCCCCGAACGCGAGGGTCCCCGCGGCTGCAGAGATAGCCCAGACCGGGGCCTCGAGCTGCTCCCCGGACTCTGGCCCCTCCGCCGCGGCGGCTTGCTCCCGTCTCCTCCTCCTTCGCCACCTCGGCGGCGCGCCCTACCAGGGAGTTGCTCTCCCTCCGCCGGGGGTGGGAGAGCGCCGAGCGGCCCCCGTGACGTGGAGGGAAAGGAGGAGCGGCGCCGCCTGGCTCCCGCAGAGGGAGCTCCCGGCCCCTGCCGGGGTCCCGGCTCCGCGCTCTGCACAAAGTTCTCAGGCGCGCGGAGCGCTCCGCTCAGGCCGAGCCGCCGCTGCCCTGTGTCATCCAGGTTCGGTTCCCTCCCCGCATTAAATAGCCCAGAAATCCGAGGTCTGGAGAGCTAAGCGACTTGTCCAAAGTCGCCCAGAAAGCGGTGACAAAGCAAACTCACACCTGCGTCTCCTCGCTCCCCCCGCGAAGGCCGGACTCCGCCAGGCTCCGGCTTTGCAGGACTCGCCCGCTGTCATTGGTAAGATAACAGTGTCCCACGCAGCCTGGAGAAATGTCATCTAGGGGCAGCGTGGGAAGATGGAGATTTATGCCCAATAAATAGAGTACACAGTTGTTTTTCAATCAGTGCCTACATGCCAAATAGACACTAAGGCTTCCTCTGTACCCGCAAGCGGGGGTGAGGGTGGCGGGCCAAGCGGGCGCGGTATCCGGTCCCAATCCTGTTCACCAAAAAACTGCATGAAAGCAAAAGCACACCTACTTAGTCAATTGGGCAACAGCTACGACTCGGCTTTTGTAGACGGTTCTTGTGAATGTGCGAACTTTATGAAGTGGGTGCTCTGCGCTGTGCTCGTTAATTCCCGCGCTTGCGGGCGCTCCCCTCCTCTCCTGGCGAGAGCTCCCAGGGCCCGCCTGACGGGGCAGGGAGCGCACCAGTAAGTCAATGCCAGCTAATTTCTTCATGCCTTCCCCTGCCAGGCTGCGTGGGCTGAGGGCCTGTTGTATGCCTGGCCAGTTGGTAGGGAGCTGGCTAGGACCCGGTAAACCTGTTAGGAGCCCTGCAAGGGATCCATATTCTAGGAACTAGAGCCTGTCCACAGTAACAGAGACTCAGACTACCTTGCCTTTTATTTTTTTACTTACTTATTTATGTATTTATTATTTATGTATTTATTAATTATTATTTTTATCCTCACCTGAGGACATTTTTGCATTTATCTTCAGATAGAGCGGGAGGGAGAGAGAGAGAAACATCATGAGACACATCCAGTAGTTGCCACCCACACGACCCCAACCGGTGCAGGGGACAAACTAACTGCAACCGAGGTACCTGCCCTCAGCGGGAGCCTAACCGGGACTCTCCGGTCTGCAGGCCCACACTCCAACCTCTGAGCCAAACCGGCCAGGGCCTACCTTGACTTTTAAAAAGTTCCCAGTGCTCAGGGGCAGCAAGCAATATCCATTTTGCAGATTTATATACAAGCAAATGGCTAGTTTTGCACTCATCTGTTCCCAGTGGGAACTCCTCTTTCTGGAAGAGTCATTAAAGGTCTAATTCACACCTCTAGTCTCCCTCATTTGCACATGATGATGATGGTGGTGATGATGAAGATAAAAACAACTGAGGCTTCTATTATCTATGTATGGTGCTGTGCTAAGCAATTTGTGCAGATTAACTCTTTCAGTCCTTACAGAGTTAGGAGGGAGGTGCCATTTCTATTCTGATATTACACATGAGGAGAGGGAGGTAAGTGAGGTAAAATAATTTGCTAGTAAGTGGCAGAGCCAGAACCCGGAAGCAGGTGATTTGTCCTGGTGTCCATGCTGTTAACAACTGAGGAAACAGGCCTCCCAGGACTGGAATCTAAATGGTTCACCAGCCATCATCAGCCTGGCTCACACAATGGAGCTTCCAGTTGTCTTAGAAGGGGTTCTATGAAATCTGCACACAATACCTCCTAAATAGATCCATTTTATTATTTTGAATGTGTCATATCATAAAGTGGTTTTCCATTCAACTCACTCTGCTATTTCCAATTCCCAGATCAATCTTTTTGTCATAAAGCAAACTGTTTCTGTGATGGGAACTTATAAACACCTTTAACATAAAGTCTGTAAACTTTTATTTATTTATTATTATTTTTTATCCTCACCCGAGGACTTTTTTTCTATTTTTTGTTCAGATAGAGTGTGGGAGGGAGAGAGAGAGAGAGAAACATCGACGTGAAAGGGACACGTCGAGTGGTTGCCACCCACACGACCCAACCAGGGCCAGGGACAAACTGCAACCGAGGTACATGCCCTTAGCGGGAACCGAACCCGGGTCTCTCAGGACCGCAGGCCGACGCTCTAACCGCTGAGCCAAACCGGCCAGGGCTAAACTTTTAGATTGTTCTATACTCAGACCATACCCAGCTCTTTCCCTGTCCTATCCATCCACTGTCTTCCATTAGTCCCTTCCTTAATTTGAAACCTTGTTCTGATTAGCACCCTGGGTGTTCAGAAAGCACTTGCCCAAGGCTGGATGGTGGCCCCAGAAGGCTTCTGCTAAATACTACAGCATGCTCAGCATTTCCAGGGTATTAGTTTCCCAGGACTGCCGTAACAGATTACCCAAAACTGGGTGATTTAAAATAGCAGAAATGTATTCTTTCACAGTTATGGAGGTTAGAAGCCTGAAATCGAGGTGAAGGCAGGGCTATGCTCCTTCTGGAGAGAAGAATCCTTTGCCTCTTTGAGCTTCTCGTGGTTGCTGCCAATCCTTGGTGTTCCTTGGCTTGCAGCTATGTTATTTCAATTTCTGTTTCTATCATTGCATGACCTTCTTTTCCTGTGTCTCCTGTGTCCAAATGTCTCTCTTCTTTAAGGAATACAAGACATTGGATTCATGGCCACTCTAATCCAGTATGACCTCATCTTAACTTGGTTACATCTGGAAAGACATACATTTTAGGGGGACACTATTCAACCCAGTACAATGGCCAAAAGTCATTCATTGTTAATGAAAATGTGTTGCTTGAGTTGAGGATGCCCCTGCCCTGAAAGAAAGACACTGTAGCTACAGAGGTAGTCCCTGCACCCAGAATAGAACCAACCAACAAGATAGGAGATGCTAAGAGCCAACTGACTGGCACAAAAGACTATTCATGGGCCAAATGGCAGCCATGCTTGAGAAATGCAGTCAAGGTGACACAGTCACTGAGGACACCACTAAAGGACTTCACTCCAAAGGGAGGGTGATCCAAGCATATCCTTGAAGGAAAGTAAGAAAAGCAAAACTAAGTAAGGAGGGCTTGTCAAAAGAACAGCTCCAAAGGGGGAGTTTGATTGTAGAAATGAGACGCTGAAAGGATGCAAATATCTATCATATCAAATATAAAAACACAATGAATTATTTTGGCGATAATAATAATATGCCATAGTAGTTAGCATACTTTAAAAAGAGCTTTCTCCTTCCATTATTTTCATTTGGTCTTTATGACAATCCTGAGTATCATCAGAGAAAGGAATGTAATATTTTACAACCAAGGATCCTGGGGTTCACAGGGATCAAGTAACTTGCCCAGGTCAAACAACAAACCGGTTATAGAATTTGTAGGAAATACATTGATCTTGATATTTCTCATTCAGAAATTTCCCCACCAAATAATGTTCCCTCCTGGGTCAGCCTTCCAGTACTGATTGCCTTCTTGGCCCAAGGAAAGCATTTGAAGAGCAGGGTAACACTGTGAGAAACAGAAAGCTTCCTTAAAAGCCATGTGACTCCCAAATTGGAACTGTGATAAACCATCTCCAGACATCTGAATTAGTTTCACCAAAATTTTTGAGAATTTTCAAGTGTATTAAAGGGTCTTCTTTGGCTTTCAGGGACATCATAAGACCCAGTGGCCTTTTGTAGCACTCAGCTGGTTATCTTAAAGAAATGGGGGTTGAATGGAACTTGAAGGGCAGAGACATTGGTAAGAAGTTAAGGGGAAATTGACTACAAAAGACAAGAAGTTACATCACAAGATGGTAAGCCCCAGAAACTGATCATTGAAGCTCAGTGTCTGATCTCACCAGTGTGGAGTCACACGTAGACACCAGGTCTTGGCATGTTTTATGAACTTTCTGATTAGAATCTGTAAATATGGCTAGCAGCTGGAAGCAAGCAGGAATGTCTGATGATTTAATGTTTCCCTGGATTTTCTTTCACGTAGCAAATTGGGGATCTTTAAAGGCATGTTTAAGGATGAAATGCTTTTGAATCTGTGTTATTCACTGAGTTCTTGCTTGTGCAAAGTGCTACACTGGTTGCTATGGGAGAATGCAAAAATATAAAAGACAGTTTCTGATCTTAAAGAAAATCCCATCTAATTTAGGAGACACGAGGCATATAGATTAAAGATGATATAAGTGGGACTGAAGTGGAATTCCTCAGCAGCTTCTCATCACTCAGTTGTCTGTTCACATGCAAGATCTCAAAACCAGGTGCTGCCTGGCTCCCCCCTTTGTAAAACAGTGGACTGCTGGACCTCCATAGCTCTTTATCCTGGACCTCCACCCTTTAGCTCTTTATCCTGATACATGTTCATTATGACATTTATCACTATCTAAATGAAATTGTTTGCTGTTTACTCTAGATACTCTCTAGGCAAAATATCCACGAGAACATGGAATTTTTCATGTTGCTCTATTCCTAGCACAATGTTGGACACATATTAGGTTCTCATTAAATATTTGTTAAATGAATAAAGTATTTATTAATCAACTGGGAATGGGCTAAAATAACTTGGATTAATATAGCATTTCCCACATTTGCCTGATAAGACTTACCTAGACACCTGTCAAAGCCCTGGAGACGCTGACTCAGGAAGCCTGGAGTGAGGCCCAGGAACCTGCATTTTAAGAGACATCCTGGGTGATTCTTTCAATGGGGTAGTATGGGACACACAAGAGTAATACAGTGACTGATGGGGGTGGGAGAGAAAAGTGAAGTGATAGCAGCTTTCAGAGGTCATGGTTGCTCACTGGAATCATCTGGAGGAGATGTTAAAAATATTGATACACAGACCCATAGACTCAGAACAATTACATTGGAAACTCTGGGGGTGGGCACGAATTTGAGCCAGGTTTTAAAGCTCATCAGGGAATGCAAATGCGCAGCCACGGCTGTGAACGCCCTGAGATCTGCGGAACTATTTTGATAGTAGTCTAAGTGCACAGCTAGGCTGTGCTCCAGTGGCTTTCAGCTTCTTGTACACAGCTGGGACCCTTGGTTCCTAGTCTGGAAGGGACATGTTCAGGGACTTATACAATAACCCAGTTTGGGGAGATGTGTAGTCATTTTCACTATTGTAAAAAAATAAGTGTTATTTAAAGCAACTGACTTTAATCTCTTGTACTTCATGGCTAGAGCAGAGAACACCTTCAAGAATATTTTAATGATGAGAAAGCTGAGGCCCCCTGAACAAAGCCTAGGTGACCCAGGAAAGATAAAGAAGGAGGAAGATGTGAAAAGAGTCTATCTGCATATTAGAATCACCTGGGGAGTTTAAGAAATTACTGATGCCCAGATTTACTCTGAAAGATTCTGCTGTAATGGGTATAGGGGTGTAGTGTGTGTGTGTGTGTGTGTGTGT